AGCCATTTTCTTGGGACTTTTTTTATTTTTACTAATTTCTGGTACAAGAAAGCAGCATTCAACCAATTAATTTAAAATTGAGTCCTCTTAAACCTTACAAGAAAACTCTTTCGATACTTTTTTTTATTTATTTATAAGATTTAAACTCGACACCATATTTAAAAGAAACTGAATTTTTTTATTTAAATCAATAAATCATTAGTTTATTGTGACGTATCAGTTGCTGATAATCTGTCTGTTTTTGTTGACAAATTAGCCGACCTACTTTGTTCTGTAATATTCAGTCCAGACAACAAAATAAAACATAAGATTGGATAAAGCTCTTGATGTCAGAGCTGTTTTTACTCATTTAATCATTTTTGTTTTACATTTTGATACAATTTAAACTGTGAAACTGGAAATTCTATTCGGAGGATTTTTTTTTTTTTTTTGGTTCGGTTCCACGTCCACATTTTCTACAGAATGCCGCCTCTTGGGCTGGGGTTAACCAAAGACCTTATCCTGTTTTCCTGGTTCTTTTTTTCTTTCCATTCTTACATGACTGGAGACAAACAACTAAACATTCGAATATTCTGAAATTTTGTGGTGCTAAGAAGCTGCTACTAATGGCAAGACTAGAGGGGTTCTGTCAATTTTCAACACAAATAATGACATACTCACTTTTGTTTTCATTTTCATGCATTTACTACATTTTCTGCCCCATAGCAGGTCAGTATATCAGTCAGTCCGCACTGGTAAACCTAGCCCCTTAGTCCCCTCCATAAAATAATAAGAAAAAAGTGTCAAGTTTTTCCATTATTATTCCTAACATTTTAATTGTCAGATAGGAATAATTTTTTGCAATCCCAAATACTTGACTATTAAACTTGTATGACATCCTTCCAGTTTCACGGATAACATTGACATGCCTGCTTCAGTGGCAATAACCATGCTCTCAGAGAGCTCTAGAGGATAAGAAAGTCTTCATCAGTCTTCAAGGAAATAAGTGAAAATAATAATAATAATAATAATAAAGACATATCTGCACAGAAACTGCAAAAAAAAGTTATAAGAGCTACTGAGAGTACAAAAAATGAAGTTTGAGATTAAACAACCACGAGAACAATAAGGGGTCTGTGGTGAAACATAATATCTAATGAGTGGACAATGTGAACTTTGGCCCCATGTTCAGAACAATCAGCATAGTATAGTAATACACGTTATTTCCATATTGGAAAGGGAAGTATAACATCAAAAATGAAAGGTACTAGACTCAGTGCAACATCTGTACAGGATTGACATGGCAGCTAAATATTTGGCTGTTTATCATCTAAACAGCGGGTATATTGGAGAAGGAGAAACCTTTATATCCCTTGTATGCGTAGTACGCGATCCGTGTATAATAGAACCCCGGGATAAACAAAATGGCTCCAAGTATTGCAAAGAAAAGCCCTGAACCATCAAAAAGAGAGAGAGTGAATCAAAGATGAATAACAGACACAGAAGGCCAATTGTTTAGTCAATGCCATGGTGTTAATAAATTCAACACTTGCTGGTGACATTTACAGAAGAAGAATATTTATGGTAATTGTTCTCACAAGCTAAGAGTTGACTGACATTTTAAATGAGAAGTTTAGCTCTTTATACTAGGAGATATTTTTTTCCAAAAACCAACGGTCATCCCTTCCCTGATCCTTGGAATCCACAGTTGGACCCCTCTATCCATCTCCTAGTAAGGAAAAGCATTTTCAATTGCATCCCTAGGATATTGATCAATGGTAGATTATCACAAACACAAACCATCTCTCCTAGATGATTATTCAAAGTGACCACCAATCTCCTTTTTATAGAATTATCTATCTATCCTGGTAATGAAAAGCATTATCAACCACATCCCTATTGGACATTGAAAATGGTACATTATCTAAAACATCCTTTCTTCTAGATGATTATTCAAAGAGGTGCACCATCTCAATTTCAGTTCAGTAGTAGGATGGTCATAAATAATGGTACATTATCTCCTACTCCTAGAGGATTATTCAAAGATATTCCCCATCTTCATTTCAGTCTATTTTTTGTAGTGTTGTTTACGTGCTTATAATTACAGAACATTAAATGTGAATTCAACAACTCCCACAAGTCTAGAAAAGGACGCCCATCCTTTCTCTTCCCCTTGCAGATAATTGCCACGTATTCATGAAAACTAGATCCTAAAGCTTTTGCCACATTGTCAACAAATGTTGAATAATACAGAGAGCCCATCTCCTAATAATTCATTAATTATCAAAAGTCTACTACTTCTCTCTTCCTAACATTCCTGATAATAAGAAAAGGGAGTCTGCTGGTGAAATGGGTTCAACTAGATGCAAAAATCAAGATAAGTGCTAGGGTTTTCTCGTTTATTAGGGAACCTGACCAAACATTGGAACTCAAAAAACACTCATGTTATGTCATGTTAGCCAAATTGCTCCCCAAACCTTTGCTGGATAGCTTACATAAAACCATATTGTGTGTCAGTTATATTGACAACATGCATATTGCATTCTTTGGCAACCGATTTTGTATAAAATTCTAACTCTCATCAGAAATACAACCTGGCAGCTAATTATGAACTGATTGTAATTAAACTCCATTTTCTATTACTGATTGGAGATGCTATTCAATCAGTTCCTAGTAAGATAGTCAATTCCAATACTAATTCTGGTTACAATTGTCATTAATAAGAATTAAACCACAATTACCTCACTGAGTAGAATGAAAGTTGGAAGCTTAAATTCTTATCTAGGGTGAACATGCTTCTCTGGCTGCTAACTAAATGAACAATCCCCTGTAGCTGCTTTATTAACTCTGATAATTGCTAAATCTAACTTCTGCCTAATTTTAGAAAACTTATAGTATCAAACTTACTGCATAGTATCCATCTAATGTGCATGTCGTCAGTTATTTAAGCAACTGAATCCCTCTTCTTTTATATCAAGGAAGTATCTATACCAAACCTTTTCTTTTTTACTCTGCTTTTGGAATGCTAGAAAGTCAAAAACTTTCAATTTTTTAGATACATTTTTCCCACTAGGTAAATCAATTAACATGAAATAGAGACCGTCGAAGCACAATAAAGTAGTCCCCTGCGTTCCTTCATTTAAAACCTCACTGTACCCCTAGCATACTTGGTATGATTTAAATCCAGATGGAGGGACGCCTATATGTAACCCTAGAAATGTAGGTTGTGGAGAAGTGATAAGAAAGGATGATCTTTTCTGTATGAGGAACTTTTTCAGCTCACAAACTTCACATAAACTACCTTGAGCTGAACCCTGAACCCTAATCCCTTCATTATTGTTCCCAACCCTCAGAGAAAGCTCTGTCATCTGATTGTTATCCTGAGATTTAAGCCTACCATTTTAAGAATTTCACAAGTTTAATCTCCTAATCACTTAAAAAATGAAAAATCTCGACCTAGAAACAGAAACATGGAGAAGGAATTGAAGCTGAAAGGCAGGAAAGACATACCGTGAGCCCGGTCACCGCCGACTTTGTTGTAGGCCATGAAGATCCCCAGGATAATGCCGATGGTGCCGAACACGAGAAGAGCGACGGCAAGGCCGATCTCCTTGAACGGAGGCCGATTGTTGACGGTGTAGGATGTCTCCATCATAATGTCCTCGTCCGATATGGAGAATGCGTGGTCGACGTAAGCCATGTCTTCCCAGAAGGACGGTTCTCTAGATTCGCAGGAAAAAAATTCTTGAGAGAGATTTCGATCTTTCTTGGGGTTTGGCTTGGTTGGAGTTTTGAGTTAAAAGCTATGGACTTTTCAAAGGAGAAGAAGAAGATGTGTTGCCTTTCTTTTCGGCAGAAGCAAGGTTCAGTCGTCATCGCTGAGCACTTGTAGGTGGGAATTCCTCTAATTGCAGTCCTTAATTAATTATTGGCGGCTGCGAAGTTTCTACACAACTCGATAGTTAATTTCCTTTACGTAATTTTTTACCTTATCTCCCGAGAGGATAAGATAAATTTTATTAAATATAATTTAAAATTAGTGATTATTAGTTTTAATTTTTTTTTAAATTAAAATTTTAATTAATTTTTAAATTTAAATATTAATAT